ATATATTCATTCTATCAAAATCAAACCAAGAGGACACAGAAAGACTGAACAGACCAATGACAAGTAAATAGATTGGATCAGTAATAAAATGTCCCCCAACAAAGACAAGTCCAGGATCAGATGGCTTCACTGCTAAATTTTACCAAACCCTGAAAGAAGAACTAAAACCAATTATTCTCCACAGAATGTAAAGGAAGAGAACTCTTCAAAACTCATTCTATGAGGTCAGCATTACTAATTCCTAAACCAGATAAACACACACACACACACACACACACACACACACACACACACACACACACAAGTACACCCAATGAATATAGATGCAAAAATTGTCAACAAAATACTAGCAAATCAAAGTCAACAGCACATCAAAAATGACACATCATGAGCAACTGGAATTTATCCAAGGAATTCAAGGATGGTTCAACTTAAGTAAATTAATAAACAGATCAAATTATTACACTGACTAAATGAATATTTCAATAGATAAGGGAAAACATTTGATAAAATTCAATATCTCTTCATGATGAAAAATCCTGAAATTTAGTATAGAAGGAACATAACTTAATACAATAAGGATTACAAATGACAAACCTATAATCAACATCATAATAAATAGGAAACGGCTGAAATCCTTTCCTTTATGATCAGAAATAATATAAAGATGTCCACCTTCACCACTCTTATTCAATATAGTATTGGAAGTCTTAGCCAGAGTGATAAGGCAAGAGAGAAAAATTAAGGGCATCCAAATAGAGAAGGGGAAAGGAGGAAGTCAAATTATCCCTGTTTGTAGATGACATGATTTTATATATAAAAATAAAACATTCCATCAAAAAGTGCTAGAACAAGTAAATAAATTCAAAAAGATCGCACGATACAAAAATCAACACTCAAAAGTCAGTAGCTCTTTTATATAATGATGATAAAATTTGGGGGGGAATATCAAGAAACTAATTCCATTCATAGTAGCTACACAATAAAGTAGGAATAAATGTAAGGAAGTGAATTATCTGGGCAATGAAAGTCATAAAACCCTGGTGAAAGAAATTGAAGATACATGCACACACACACAAAAAAAAAACCCAAAGATTAATATTAGTAGACTATCCACACTGGATATTTAGAATATCCAAAATTCCTAAAAAAAATGATAATGACATTCTTTACAGATATAGGGAAAAAAAACTCCTAAAGTTTATATATAACTACAAAAGATCTCAAATAGACAAAGCAATCTTGAACAAAAAGAACAAACTGAAGGATTCAGAGTACCTGATTTCAAGACACTACAAAGTCACAGTGCCAAAAATAAATAAATAAGACAATACTGGCATAAAAAAAGACACATAGTCCAATGGAAAGGAACAGTAGGCCAGAAATAAATTAACATATTTATAGTCACCTGATTTTAAACAAAAGCAGCAAAAACATACACTAGGGAAAGGAAAGTATCTTCAAGAAAATTTTCTGAGAATACTACATATCTATATGTAAAAAAAACACACACACACACAAAAAGTGGGCCCTTATTTCTCACTATATATAAAAATTGACTCAAAATTCATCAGATTTAAACAGAAGACACAAAATACTGAATCTACTAGAACAGTGGTGGTGGGCTTACAGTACTTGTTCCACAGCCAGCTGTTTGTTATCACTGAAAGCTCTAAAACGTTTGGCCATCACAGCACGAAAAACAAAGCAGGAAAAAAACACTTCAGGTTATTTTAGTCCAGGCAAAAATATGTTGGATATGATTCCCAAAGCACAAGCAATTAACAATGAGATTATATTAAACTAAAAATGAACATCATTATTTTGCATTACAAACATGCACTAATAACAAAAGTACAAAAAAGGTTAATTACTTAATTGTATAATTTGCTGTGAATTCTATTTATTAGTGAATAGGTAATGGTTTGGCATAGGAATCTTGCTTTGCTTGTACGCTGTATCTAAAACTGCTGATTTCTAATATGTAATAATATAAAGTTATAATAAATAGCTATAGGACAAAATTAGCAAAAATTAAAAGTTATCAATTAAAAGTCTTTATTCCACAGATTTTTAATTAGTACACCTTAGAGATAAATTTACTAATATGTAGACATGATCTAATCACATTCATCATAGAGAATTGTACCTGTACATAATACATCTTGATTATTTTTTCCTTAACCTCTTCCCCTCACTTTAACCCCTCTTACCCCACTTATTCACAAAAGCTTTGTTTCCATTTTTCCCTTCTATTTTTTCTTTTCCTTTCCTTCCTTTTCTCCTCCCTCTCCCTTGTTCTCCTTCCCATTTCAACATTTTCTTCCTATCTCACAATATCTGCTATACATTTTGGTTCTTATTTATCCTTTCGGTTTCTCACAGCAGTGAAACAATGTGATATTTAAACATGCTTGTCCAATTTAACTTAAAGAGTATGGTCTCAAGGTGCATCCATTTACCTAGAAATGTCTCAAATATATCCTTTGTGGCAGAGTAATACTCCTTTGTATAAAAAAACCATATCTTTACCTACTCATCTATCACAGATTGTGCTGCTATAAATATTAGTGTACATATATCACTGCAGTATGATGTTTTTAAAATTCTTTTGGGAGGACACCAAGCAGAATAGCTGGGTCAACTAAAACTCTAGTTTTAGTTTTCTGAGTAATCTCCACACTGATTTCCACAGTGGTTGCACCAATCTACACTTCTACCAACAGTGAAGAAGGTTCCTTTTACCCACAACCTTGTTATTGGTTGCTTTCTTGATAGCAGCCATTCTTTTTGTCCTGAGATAGAATCTCAGTGTTTTAATTTGCATCTCTGGAATGACCTGTGATGTTGAACATTTTTTTCATATATTTATTTGCTATTTGTATTTCTTTATCTGAGAAGTGTCTATTCATTTCAGATGCCCATTTTTGGATTGGGTCTTTAAATTTTGGGTTCTGGTTCGTTATTTACTTATTCTAGATATTAGTCCTTTGGGGAACAGCTGCCAAAATTTTTTTCTCACTGAGTTGACTTTACTCAGTTGTGGTTTCTTATGCTGTGAAAAATCTTT